GACCGGTAGTATCTGATATAGAATGTCGTATCCGACCGATTTTTATGGATATATATTGAAGAATACGCTTATATATGGGCTAAGACACCTGATATGATAATATGGGCCGAGCCCAACCTAAGCCAGGCCCAACATGGATTATAAGGTATGTTCCCCCTATAAAAAGGGGGAGAAGGTGCTCACTTCCTCCATTCTCTCCTCATCCCATTACTACATTTTCTCTCTCTATATGCATTCTCATATGAATCTCGTACTGACTTAAGCATCGGAGGCCCAAGGCCGAACACCCCTCCCGGGGTCTCTGGCTTTGGGTTCTTGCAGGTACGGTGGCCGTCCGAGTCGAGGGAGCCGGGATCTTTGTCCCATCAAACAGGGTTCTCAAGTTCGAGCCCTTAACGTGCCTGAAATCGAGCCGATCTCGAGTTTTAACGAGCCGAATTATAAAAATTTATATAAACATTTTGTTTTCGAGTTTTCACGAGTCGAGCTCGAGTCGAGTGAGACTCGTTTATTTTATTTTATTTTATTATTTTTTTTTTCGAATCAGATCATAAACTTTTCAACAGGATGCATCAGCCGGTTTTTTTACCTGAAAGTTAAAAAAAAGTGTTGGAACAAAAAATACACAAACAAATGCGAGTGGAAATAAATAAAAAACACGTATTTAGAGAATACGTAACGTATTATGAGAATACGTTTTACAATTAAATTTGTAAGGAAAACGTATTCTCTAAATACGTGTTTTTGATTTTGTTCTACATTTTTTTTTTTGTTTTTTTTATCCACTTGTATTTTTATTATTTTTTTTAATATATAAATTTCCCTGCATCAAATACGAGAGGTTGGAAAATGAGAGCGTGAACACTATCTTGAACAGGAGAGAATGGAGAATGAAAGATTTCCATATTACCACGTGTTTCCAACAGTTCGGGTGGCGGGCATAGCAGAGGGTTTATTTAGCTAAAATGCCCATTTTTTTTTTAATGATGTCATATTTTTTATACAGCCTCGCTCGTCTCTGATCAGTGATCGGGGAGAAAAAATAAAAATGGAGGAGATGAATAATTCGACACCGCAAGCAGTGGCAAACGATTGCCTCAAATTTGAAGTTAATGGAGAAACGTTTGAGGTAACCGAGGCTGATCCCTCCACTACTTTGCTCGAGTTCTTGCGCTCGGAAACTCGTTTCAAGAGCCCCAAGCTTGGTTGTGGTGAAGGTGTGCGATTACTCTGCGTGCGTGCACGTGTGCGTTTGTATGTGTGTGTGCGTTCTTTCTTTTAGCTTTTTCGATTATTTCTTATGATTTTGCGTCTGTGCCTGTGAGCATGTTTAGATTGGCTCTACTCTTTTGGGTTCGTGATATGGGTTCTCTTGTTTTGTGATTATTCATTTAATTGTCCATTTATTGCAGTTTTATATGGGTTCCTGCAGAGCTGAGAATGTGATTCTTGGCATGGGCTGTTATGTTTAGTTCCGTTGTCAGTACGATTACGCATGTGTCTTGATTATTCATTTATTTATCGTCAAATTACAGTCTTATTTGGGGGCCTACAGACAGTATTTTTATATGGACGCTCAATTTTGGTGCCTCTGTGGGAGGTGGTGCGTGTGTTTATGCACATAAACCAGTATTTGGGTCTCTTATATGTTGAATTTTTGAAATGGAATGTTGTATTTGATGTGTTCGTGTGGTTGTTTGTCCATTTTTTTTTCTCGTATTTGGATATAAGCCTTTTGAGTTTGAGTTCTTGGATAGAAACTGTGTGCTTGGGGACTTCCCTTTGCAGCATTATTTGTAAACAGGACAAAGTGAAAGAAAATTGATTTTTCTTACTTGGCACCTTTCTTTATGCTGCTTTCTACTCTCTCTGTGTGTGTGTGTGTGTGCAGACACTTGGCTTTTACTATGTTGAATTTCTGAATTGAATGCATACCAATGGTTTCCTTATTATTCCCTATTTCTTATATATATAGATAGCTCATGGAATTCTTTTATAAACTATGTCCTTGACGGCTTTGCATGTGATGAAGTGTGTATAAATTTCGTGATTTTACGTTCATAAATTCCAATCCCCTCCATATAATATTGCTCCACTGGGTTTAAAATGATTACTCAATTAGTGTGATGATATATTTTTTTTTTTAGGTTTTATTCAAAGTTAAGTTCTGCTTAACATCGTGTTTTATTTTTCCAGGTGGATGTGGGGCTTGTGTCGTACTCCTGTCCAGCTACAACCCAACACTCAAAAACGTCGAGAGTTTCACTGTGAGTTCATGCCTCACGCTCCTTTGCAGTGTAAATAACTGTTCTATTACCACTAGCGAAGGCCTCGGGAACACTAAAGATGGATTTCATCCTATCCACCAAAGATTTTCCGGATTTCATGCTTCCCAGTGTGGCTTTTGCACTCCAGGGATGTGCATGTCCCTTTTTTCAGCACTAGCAAATGCCGAAAAATCCCATAGTTCGCAAATCCCTCTTGGTTTCTCTAAGTTAACGGTTAATGAGGCCGAGAAGGCTATAATGGGAAATGTATGCCGGTGCACGGGCTATCGGCCGATTTTCGATGCTTGTAAGAGTTTTGCTTTGAATGTCGATTTGGAGGATCTTGGGATTAATTCCTTCTGGAGAAAGGGTGAGACGAAACGGGCCTGCCTGAATAACTTGCCATCTTATAATCCGACAGATCATGTTTATCCATATACCAAAGAAATGAAGCCGACGCGGGTATTAAATTCAAGAAAATTATCTTGGTATACTCCAGTTACTCTTGAGGAGCTCCAGAGCTTGCTTAAACTGGGTACGGTGGACAATGATGGGAAAATCAAACTAGTTGTTGGCAACACGGCCGCTGGCTATTATAAAGAGACTGAGAAATTTGAAAAATATGTTGATCTTAGGTATGTGCCTGAGCTTTCGATAGTGAAAAGGGATGAATTAGGGATTGAATTTGGAGCAGCATTACCGATTTCCAAAGTTATTTCACATTTGAAGGAAGAAAGTAAAAGTAACGTGTGGGCAAGACTAGCTGAACATATGGAGAAAGTTGCTTCAGGCTTTGTGAGAAACTCAGGCAGTCTTGGGGGCAATTTGGTAATTGCGCAGCGGAAATATTTTCCTTCAGATATTGCCACATTGCTTCTTGGCGTGGGTTCGAGTGTTAGTGTACTGACAAATCATAAGCATGAGAAAGTTCCCTTTGAGGAGTTTCTGTACAGACCACCGCTCGACTCTAAGGACGTGCTTCTAAGTATTCACATACCGTTTCTAGAACCAGTCAATAAATCTGCTAAAAATAATAATTCGAAACTGTATTTTGAAACTTACCGTGCCGCACCAAGGCCGCTTGGAAATGTGTTGCCATACTTAAATGCTGCATTATTGGCTGATACTTTCCGAGACAAGAAGGGAATTTTGGTGAACCGTGTTCGGCTAGCTTTTGGTGCTTACGGGACCAAACATGCGTCAAGGGCAAAAAAGGTAGAAGAATATTTGGAGGGGCGAATACTCAGTGTTGGAGTTATTAATGAAGCGGTTAAATTAGTTAAAGATGCCATTGTGTGTGAAGATGGAACATCGTATCCAGCATACCGGACAAGCTTAGCTGTTGGCTATTTATTTTCTTTTCTTGCTACTATAATCAATGGGATTGACTCATCTGAGGACTTGAATGATCCACTTCTTAATGAAGTGGGTAAAAGCATCAATGATAATGATACAAGTTCGGCAGAAAATGGGCCACTGATTTCATCTGCAAAGCAGTTTGTGGAGTATAGTAAAGAATATTTTCCAGTTGGCGAGCCAATGCCTAAAGTCGGTGCTGCTATTCAAGCTTCTGGTTTGTTATGCTCTTTCTCATTTTCCATTGGGGTTTGTTATAAAAATGCATACGAAAGGTTGCCCTTGGGGTTCAGACTGATTATGGGACATGAAGTTCATCTTTCAAAATTACTAATACCCCCATAAAAGTATAACAAACCTCCTTGCGGTTGTATTTAGCACCCTCGATGATGGTGCAATATATAAATAAAAACGAATTTCAAAGGGTATTTTAGTTTTAAAACTTGGATCATTTTTAATTAGGCTAATCAGTCTGCAGTCTAAATAAAGTACCACATGGTAGTAATTCTCTTTTTCGAATTACACCTTCAAAGAATTGGAAGAAATTAGAAAATATGCAGCTCAAAGGGGCTGAGGCGCATTTTTATAGTTCCGGAATATAAATCGATTTTTTATAATCAGTCCTAATCGCAATAGTAGCTTTTGTAGTTATCCTTTTCGAAATTAAGTCTCAGCTTTAACGCAAATGTAGGTGAAGCTGTATTTGTTGATGACATTCCTTCACCTCCAAACTGTCTGCATGGAGCACTTATTGTTAGCACGAAGCCTTTAGCTCGAGTGAAGGGTATTTCTTTTGAGTCCAATCCACAGCCATCCAGCAGAAACTATGTTATAACTGTTAAAGATATCCCAAAAGGAGGAGAAAATATAGGGGCCACGGCATTTTTTGGATCAGAACCTTTATTTGCTGGTGATGTAGCTCAATTTGCTGGCGATGTCCTTGCATTTGTGGTATTTTCACTGTTCTTCCCAATGATTGTAGCCAGACTTTAAACTTATAATTGAGTTTTGTAAATTTGTAACTTGGCGAGATATTCTCTAGGTTGCAGACTCGCAAAAGCATGCAAATATTGCTGCAAGAACGGCTCGTGTGGATTATGATATGGATGGCTTAGATTCGCCAATTTTAACTGTTGAGCAGGCTGTTGAGAAGTCAAGTTTCTTTGATCTGCCTCCGAATTTTCGTCCCAGAAAAGTTGGGGATTTCTCGAAAGGAATGGCTGAAGCTGATCACAAGATTCTATCTCAAGAGGTACTTTAGGATTGGTCTTCTATTTTATTTTAGCTTAAGATGATCACTAAATTTACCTATAAGGTGAAGGAAATTTTTTCAAAATTACAGAAAGCCCTTGAGGTTTGATACTGTCTTCAATTCCAGAGCACGTTAATATTTATGAATGGGAAATTCTTTTAGCTTCTGGTGGAAGAAAATTGAGGACGAGGGAAAACTTCTCTGATATCTTTTTGTAAATACGATAACCTCGGGGATAGGTTTTGTAACTATCCCCAAAAAGAATATTAATAAATACCCTTTTAGTTGGTGTCTTTCAAATAGATTAAGTTACATTTCCAATTCTGCATCTATAAGTATAGAACTTCAAATTAATTTCTTTTATAGAAAAGGAAGAGGTATTTCATGACTGGATTTGCTGAACAATCAATGCCATGATACACTTTCATTTTGAACTTAAAGGAAGGAAATAACTACGAGTTGTCATTTTGTTACACTAATAAGTCCATTGCTACTTGCTTATTGTGCTAATCCAGATAAGGCTCGGTTCACAATACTATTTCTATTTGGAGACTCAAAGTGCACTTGCAATACCAGATGAAGACAACTGTATGATAGTTTATAGTTCAATCCAATGTCCCGAGTATGCCCAGATAGCAATTGCGAGATGTCTTGGTCTTCCCGAGAATAACGTACGCGTAATTACAAGAAGACTTGGTGGAAGCTTTGGTGGGAAGGGACTAAGAGCAATGACTGTGAGTGTGATTAGCATCAGATTTATATTTTTACTCTCGTCCCTCTCCATTTCTGGTCAGTTGGATGTTTTTTATCCATCTTAATTTTTTTTCCCTCCCATGACAATCAGAATCTTGATACATGTCTTTCTTCCGATGTTTGATGAGTTTAAAGACTTTTGAGCTTAAAGTTGTGAAAGTTATGTTTGTAATTATGAGATGCATCTGGTTTTAGTTTATAACTTAAAATGTCATCTTCTGTGCTGAGGCTTACATTTACTACGGAGTTTAGTTGAGTTTCATAAAATCTCTAAAAGTACCAGTACTTTTTGTTTATGAAAACCATCTCATTACTCCTAAACTGAGATTTTTAAGTCTGTAAAAGTTGTTTTCTGTCACCAAACGTCTTTAACAGTATAAGATTTATCTTTACTATCCCTTACCTTCTATTATTTTTGTATCAAAACTGCCAATTGACATAGAGTAAGAGTAGAAACTTCTAGTACCAATTGACAATCACCCATATAGCACTTTGCTATTCGTCCACGTCATTAATCATCATATGTGTATATATATTCACTCTATTTTTCCAACTAAACTTTAAATCACCCTTTAGTCTTCACACCACAGAACTACCAACTCACTGTGTTGTTCCAGGTCGCCACATCATGCGCGATCGCAGCCCACAAGCTCCGGCGCCCAGTCCGGAACTATCTTGACCGGAAGACCGACATGATCATCGCTGGTGGCCGTCACCCCATGAAAATTACATACACCGTCGGATTCAAATCCAACGGCAAGATCACGGCCCTGCATCTCGACATCCTCCTGAACGCCGGCATAACCATCGACGTCAGCCCCTTCATGGGCTCCACCATGAACGGGGCTTTGAAAAAGTACAACTGGGGCTCCTTCTCCTTTGACATCAAGCTGTGCAAGACGAACCACTGTAGCAAGTCGGCCATGCGGGCCCCAGGGGAGGTACAGGCATGCTACATAGCAGAGGCAGTACTCGACCGCGTGGCGGCCGAGTTGTCGATGGACGTGGATGAGGTCAAGAACGTCAATTTCCACACGTACGAGAGCTTAAAACATTTTTACCCTCACTCGGCCAGGGACCCGTTGGAGTACACGCTGCCTTTCATCTGGGAGAAGGTGACGAAGTCATCCGGCTTCGAGGTAAGAAGAGTCGCGGTAAAAGATTTTAACCGCCGTAATATATGGCGCAAAAGGGGTATTTCTCGTGTGCCGATCGTGCACGAGGTGGCGGTGACTCCGTGTCCCGGGAAGGTGAGTGTGCTTTGGGACGGGTCGGTGGTTGTTGAGGTTGGGGGTATCGAGATGGGGCAGGGTCTCTGGACGAAGGTAAAGCAGGCGTGCGCGTTTGCTTTGAGTGAAATCGGGTGTGGTGGGGTTGAGAATCTGGTGGATAGGGTGCGGGTGGTGCAGGCGGACACTTTGAGTATGGTGCAAGGAGGGTTCACGTCCGGGAGCACGACTTCCGAGGCGAGTTGTGCGGCAGTTAGAGAGTGTTGTGGGATTTTGGTTGAGAGGTTAATGCCACTTAAGAAGAAGTTGGATCACGGAACGGGTCCGGTTATATGGGAGGATCTGATTCTTCAGGTTTGTAATTTATTTTTATTTATTATTGTCAGACAATTATCCTTTTACATGCTAGAAGTTTACAATCTTTTTGTTGTGAACCGGAAAGTGGAAATTTGAACCAGTAGATTGGGACATATATTCTCATTGTCTAAGATGGTTTTTGGACAGAAAGTAAGACTTCTATTGGGTTTTTTTTTTTAATACATTTAGTGGATATTGATCATGAATGAAATTCTTTGTCTTCCTTGTTCTGGTTATGAGGTCAATTCTTAAGGCGGCTTTCTATTTATGTATCTATAATTCTATATATTTTATAGAATGGGAAACTTCTGTCCGTTGTTCCAGTTTTACATCCATGTATAATCGTCATGAAGCTGTGCTCATTCTTATCAAAGTCAAATGTGTTCTGCACTATCATGTTTTATTATTTCATTTCAATCTTGATTGTATTTATATTTTCCTTGTGCATTTCAGTTCGTGGAGTAATCTTTAGTTTCACGATGCAGGCACATCAGAATTCTATTAACTTGGCTGCTCAGTCTTACTTTGTGGCCGATTCCGATGCTATAGATTACTTGAACTATGGTGTTGCAGTAAGTGAGGTAAATTTTGTCCATTGAAACCTCGTTTTCATGCAAGAATATGCTGGCAGGATTTTTGTGTTGTTGACCAGGACAAGTATCATTAATAATATTTCGGAGTCATATGAAAATTACTCGCTGTATTTAACTAATTATTATTCTTTTTTTCTTTCTTTAACCTTTTTTTTCTTGTCATTTGACTAGGGTTATGTGATGTGATCAGTTCTTCTATGACCCACAGCCCTATGTGGCACTGCCTCATTGGTGGTTGGTTCCATAAGGGAACCAACCATCTGGTTTCTTAGCAAAGTTGGTGATGTCAAATGATATCAGCTAATATTGAGTTTTTTTTTTT